TAACCACATATGAAACAACTTTATCAAAAAAAGTATTATATGAAACAATTTCACAAGATTAACAATTTCATGAAAAAATTTCATAAGATTAACGATGGATGAAAGTAGTTTTTACGGTTTTTACAAATTGGAGTGGTTTTCATTTGATCGCTCCTCTATATATATATATATATATATATATATGTGTGTGTGTGTGTATATATATATGTGTGTGTATATATATGTGTGTATATATATATATATATTGCACTTTCACATAATAAAAATGTTCTAATTGACTTGCCACACAAAAATTGAAATAGCTATTAATCAAATATCTAAAATGTCAATTAATAATAACAAAGATTTGGGTTCAGAACATCGTGAGGAAGTTCGGTCGAAGCTATTTATAAAGCACAAGCTGAACCAGATGAAATAGAAGAGCTGAACCAGATGAAATAGAAGAAAATAATCACTGATACTCGGCAAATAACAAACCCATTAAAAATGCCCCTTCAACAACAAAATTAGTAAATTTTGGTTGATACAATTTCCTTCAGTTGTACGCTACGTTTTTCGTTCTTGTAGTTTATTGAAAATTGTTATTTCCGTCCTTATGCTTTCGAAATTAAAATTCCCATTCATATGGTTCATAACTCACTGATTTTTCGTCCTTGTAGTTTACAATTCATTGTTGTTTTCGTCCCTCATACTTAATGGCCACCAACAGAGTTGGTCTCAAGAATGAAAACAACAATGAATTGCAGCCACGTAAATAAAAACCTGTAAGTTTTTAAAACATAGAGATGGAAGTCGCAATTTTTAACAAACCACAAGTACAAAGATCGTAGTTTGCCCTAGATTTCAACAATAACGAACTAAGTGACATTTTGGTTCACAAAATTTCTTTTAGTTGACCAAAAGGGTCTTTTAGCCGGATGTATCCGGATAATCAGTAGAGTTCAGCCTTATAGGAAATTAGAAAGTCAAGGGTTTAAATCTCATCAAAATCAAGAAACGTGTGTGAGTGTTTGACGTATATAAATATTATATACCCTACAATCCTTTGCTCAAATGTCTAATATACCCTACAACAATAACAACATAAACAGAAAAAGTGGCAATGGTCTTTAAATGGGTAAATGGTTTAATTTGCACAAGGATCATTAGATTTTGGTCCAACMACAATAAGCTCAAGATGTCAATCATAAGAACCCTAATGCAAACCCTAGCATCTGCTCATAAAAACAAGTTTTAGGTGAAAAAAATTAGCCTCAACTAAAAACATATGATCCAGAGAATCAAACAGTTTGCAACCAAATACTTCTCTCACAAATCTTTTCCAAAATCTAACATCATAAACACACAAAAAATGTTGCATTAGCGAAAAAAGTGTACCTTTTTCAAGATTGATCACCATTTTCTTTGTTCATCACATCCGGGATTGAATCTTTTGTAATTTTCTCCTCCCCTTCCACAGCCTCGGCATTAGAACAATGGTTCTTGAGAACCGTTGATATATCAGCCTCCGATGCACCAGCAAGCTTAAACCGTTCAACGGCTGTATCCAAGTTTTTCTCCCAACCGGTCAAACCTAACTTTGACTCAACTTGAGATCTTTCAAAGAGCATATTACCCCAAAAAAGATGAATCTGAGATCTCATAACAGCTGCTTGTTCTGCAGCTTCATCACCTGAAACATCATTACTAATCTTTGACTTTTTCTTCAATAGTTCTTCTTTTTTGCTGATAGGATCTTTGGCTTCTTTAGCTTCTTTAGCTCTTTGTTCTTCTAGTTTTTCCCACATTTCGGTTGCGGATTTCATTTTCTCTTCAGCACTGTCGAAAAGCTTAATCGTTTCTGATGGGTCCCACTTTGACAAATCGTCTTTCTTGGCAACAACAAACGACCAATAAAGTTTCGCCATTTCAAACTGTTGTTGGCCTAATGCTAATAATCCTTCATAAAAGTCTGGTTTTATCGTCAATGCTTCTTCGTATTTTTCTCTTGCTAGCGTGTATTTCTCTCTCACCCAATCATATGCCGCTTGAAGCCGTGTCGCCACCACTTCTTGATCTCCAGAATCATCTATTGGGATCCGTTTCCGTGCTGCACACATATGAACGTTTCCCCAATTAAAGAAAGCCAAAGCCGCCACTTCTTGGAACTTTGAAGCAGCTTTGTCGAATAGAATTTGAGCTTCTTCACTAGTGACGGTTTCTTCAAGTGCTTCAGAGCAGATTTCCATTCCGAGCTCGTGTAGGTCGATATGGGCGTCTGGATCAATCCCGACATGGGTACGGAATAATTGAGCGAATTCAAACAGCCAATCGTCCATCTCCACTTCTTTCAATTCAGGATCGTCAGATGATGCTGGTTTTTCTATCGTATCGGCTTCTTTTTCAGTCTTTTGATCACTCCCAGAAATAGAATGGGACCCACTACTGTCTCCTTCGATATCCAAAGGCTTCTCTTCCTCTACTTCCGCTACCTCCTCTACTTCCTCTAACAATGGGGGCTCCTGTTCTGGACTAACCTCAACAATATGCAATTTCAAAATCCCAAATGATTCAAATTTCTCTACATCGGGTTCTTTATCTGGAAGAAAAAGGCCGTCTGCAATGGATTCAGCCAGTCTGAGCTCACGGCTAGACGTTATAGTCACCAAATCCCCATCATCATCTTTGTATTTTATCAGGACAGATTTAGAAGATGGAAACCTTTTGCTCACAATCTCTCTCAACACTTTACAGTTGCAGTTCACTGGCATTTGGGCAAGCCGTATATCGTGGCCATACACAAGTTTCAACGGTCGCCATTGAATTGGAACCTCTGAAGTGTGAATTTTCAAAGATATTGGCTTTTCCTTCTGGTTAACCTTATCAACATTACTAGCATTAGATTTATTAGAACCACCAACTGACGGCTTCAAAACAAGCTTTGGCATTTGGGTGGTTTTCACTTCTTGATCATTGTCAATAGGTGAGACTGGATAAGTCTTATCTAGCTTATTGTTAGGAACCCCGACTGACCCAGAAAGTCCGGTCTTCTTTGGAACGGGTCGGGTAGGCAAACAAGGTCCAAGCCCAGCAATGGGGGCTCCACGGATTGCAGAAGCCCCTAGAGCCGCAGGTGAAGGGCGGCTCCGGAGGTCCTGTTGGGCCTCCTGGCGAGCGCCAGTGGTAGGTGCTCGCATTCTTCGGGCAATCTCCAAAGCATCCTGATGATTCGGTTCAGCACTTAAGAGTGTTTGCACATCCAACATAGCCATTTCAAACTTTCCTACAGCCTCAAAAGCCCTTGCCCTACGAAGCAAGGCTCGAACATACAGTGGCTGAACCTGAAGTGCCATAGAGCACTCGGATATCACCAATTTGTAATCTATGGGTTTCATTTGCATCAAACAAGCTGCTCTATTGCTATGGTACACGGCTCGGTCTGGGTGGGTCTTAGGAGTGAGTTTAAGGGCATTCTCATACTGTTCAAGTGCACCCACAAAGTCCCTAGCTTGAAACCGCCTGTTCCCTTCTACTTTAAGCTCATGAGCTCTCTTCAAGAAAATGGTTGAATCCATATCAATACCACCACCATTAGGCATCATTGACGAGGGTCTGGTGCTAACTGCCGACACATGATTCTCTGTTGGACTAGGGTTTTGATTTTGATTTTGGTTTTGGTTTTGGTTAACACCACCACCACCACCACCTCCCTTCTTCTTCCTACCTCCAGATTTCCCCATGTTTTCTAACTAACAGAAACCGTTAATCTAATTCGAACAGAAACTACAAAGTATCTAATTTGCAGAATGCTCGACGACAAACTAATTCGTGAAATTGAGAAATTAGGGATAAAGTTACCTGGCTTTCGATCAATTGCACTCCTTTTAGAGGTGATTGAAGCATATGAGATCGTTTTGCAGGAAATTGAATTTCTCCGAACAAGATGGAACAAAAAGACTGGATTTGGAGGGAGAGCGATTGGGGGGGTTTAGGGAAGTTTTTTTCTGGTTGGGTGTGAAACCCTAGATAGCAATAGCAGCTGATGAGCTTAAATATCGAGGAGGATGAGGGGCTACTTGTTCAAATTACAACTTATTTTCCTTCATTTTCTTTAAATAATTTATTATTTTCATGAGAAACAAATTAAAATAAATGTATTTTCTTCTCGTTTTTATTAAAAAATTTGGGTGTTAAAAAAAACTGATCAACTCAGTTAATCCAATTCGAAAAAGCATATGCAACTTAATACATAGTTGATATAAAATTAGATCAAACCGCATATTTTGTGTTGGAATTGGGTCAGGGTAATTTGAACCTAACTCAACCGATGCCTTTGTATACTATTAAGGGTGAGCAGCGGAACCGGGTACCTACTTGTGAAACCGGAACAGTCTTGAAACTACCGGTTCCGGAACCAATATGAATGGTTCCGGTTCCAAAAATATGGAACCGATTGAGAACAGTTCCGGTTCTCAATTTTTTGGAACTGTTACCCGCCGGGTATCCGGAACTGGCGGGTACCCTGAACCGAAACCGGCGGGTATCCGGTATTTTTCAATTAAAAAAATAATTAATTTTTTAATACTAAATTAAGTTAGGTCAAGAACTTAGAACTCTACATTCAAAATTTGAGATAAAATGATCCGTATTTTTTCAAATTGTGTGTTTAATTGGATTCGTAGTATGTAATCGTTAAACTTTGAACCTTTACAATTATAGTATGTAATCATTAAATTTTCAACATTTACTATTAGTCTATTATGATTTGTAATCGTTAAACAATATTTGTAACCATTATTCCGTATAATTTGTATTCTTTTTTATTTATTAATGTTTTGACAATATTTTATTTTTTTTATTTCTAAATAACAAAATATTAATATTTTAGGAAGCGGGTTCCGGTTCCAAAAATTCAAGAACCGCTCTAACCGGTTTCGGTTCCAATATCTCAAGAACCGCCGGTTCCAGTTTCGGTCAAATAGGACGGGTACCCGCCTATGCTCACCCCTATATGCTATTGATTTAATACCACTGTTAACTCCTTGTTTATTATATGTACATTAGACCAACTTGTAATTAATTTCTATCAAATTTATATTACAATTTCAACTGGTAACTTTAATTTCTTATTTGCATGAACTTTTAACTTTTTTTTTGTATGTTCTTATTCAGTGATTGTTTGTTTATCTCTTAATAGTTTCATTAAGAGTCAATATTTGAATCGCAAAATGCATCTTGTTTGGCAAAAAAAAGTTTGTCTCTTAATAATTATAAAACTCTCTGAATGATTATTTTTATCTTGGACGCCCCTAAACCATTAAGTGCCTTGATTTCATTTTGAATAATTATCAAACAATCATATTTTATTTTACATTATATCACAAAAATCTGTTAATCATTTTATATTAAATCATTCGGTAATTATTTCATTTTACACTCTGCTGATTATTTTATACATTTTCTAGAGAGGGAAAAAACAAACAAACCGAAGATTAGTATCAAGGGGCAAGAAGGTAAATGTACATGAAGGGGAGCATCTAGGGTTTTTGATCAGGTCTCTCTATTTAAGTAAGAAGCAGTCCCCTGTTCTTCATTACATTCAATTTCCCCCTTCTTCTTCTTCCCATCGCGTACTGGATTTCATTGTCCAAATCGGATTACTGCATTTTTGAGGTTTGAATCCAATTACTTCAATCTGGTTTTAATCCTTTTGATTTCTATCAGATTTTGTATTCCTTTGTTGATAATTTTGAGAGACATGGACGATTTGTCTTGTCATTTTCACAACACAAGGATAAAGTAAAGATGGCGAGATATCGTTTCAGTCGTCATTTTTTCCGATTGACGATTTGATTGTTGCTCGTCCACATTCTGTAATATCTGCAAAATACCTGTGTTTTTTTTGTTAATTTTCAGTTTATAATTTTTGGTGGTGAATGTAGATCTTCAAGAATAAACTAATGTTTTGCTGTTGTGTTCTTCATCTTCAGTTTCTGAATCTGGATTCCTTTTATGACTTGTACTGGTTGATTTACGGTTCAGTTGCTTGATTGATTTCGTTTTGGTTTTTAATATTTGAGTTTTTGTGATTTTTCGGTTTTTTAATTTTGGCGTTGAAGGTAGATCTTCAAGTGTAAGCTAATATGCTACTGTTGTGATCATCATTATCATCGGTTTTGCCTGATTTCTTTTTTAATGATTCGTAATCTTCTTTTACTCGTCAATTTAGGTTTCAGTTTCTTGATTTGTTTTATTTTGTTGGTTCTTATTTCTGTCATTCTGTGTGTTGAAAAAGTAAAAGGGGAAAAGGCTATATATATATACAAGATACTAAACAACCTAACTATTTAGAACTAACAAATAGAAAATAATAACTAATTCTAAGTTTCTAACACCCCCTTTCAAGCTGGTGGTTGACTAACTAATCCCAGCTTGCAAATAACATCAGAATGTTTTAGGCCCATGCAACGATTTAGTAAACACATCTGCAAGTTGCGACTTTGTTGGCATAAATTCCATAGCAATGACTCATGTTTCTTCTGAGTTAGAAAAATTCCTTGATCACTTTACCAGAATTCTAATCCCAAAAAGTAATTAAGAAGACCCAGGTCTTTGATTTGAAAAGTTTTATGCAAAAACTTCAACTCTTCTATTTCAAAAGTACAATCACTAGTCACAATGACATCATCAACATATACAACCATAATGGTGAACCACTCTTTTGACTTTTTGAGAAACAAAGAGTAATCATTATGAGAATGATGAAATCCTCTTGCTTTTAATGCTGACGAGAAGCCTACTTCAAACCATAATAAACTATATCTTGATTATATGATTGGATGACTTGGTGACTGGGATGCCGTTTGGATAGTTATATCAGAAGAATGGGTCGAATCAAATGTTTTGGGTTTAACATGATCAGAAGAAACAGGATTAAAGATTTGAATAGGAAATGACTATTTGGTAAAGGAATAGGTTTGGTAAACGAAAATTCAGTTTCACAAAATTCAACATTTCGTGAATATGAGATTTTCTTGGTTTCAAGATGCATAACTTTGTATGCTTTCATATCAAAAGGATATCCTAAAAAATGTGTGGATCAGCTCGGATTGCAATTTATGTCTGTCTACATGATTTGTGGAAACGAAACACAAACATCCAAAAGGTCGTAAATGATCATATTGTGGCTTGGTTTTGAATAAAAGTTCAAAACAGTAAGATGATTTAACACTTTTGAAGGCATGCAGTCAAAATACTATCCCCCAAAAATTTAAAGGTAATGCAAATTGGATCATCAAGGCTCTGGTTGTTTCAAGAAGATGTTTGTGTTTTCTTTCAACTCTTCCATTTTGCTGAGGTGTATATGGGCAAGCTAATTGATGAATGATACCTTTGGAAGAGAAGAAATTTTTTCCTTCAATGCTATTGCCCAATTCTTTGGCATTATCAGTCTGAATCACTTTAACTGTTTTATGAAACTGAGTTCGTACAAACTGAACGAATGACTTTATGATATGAAAGACGACACTTTTGTGTTTTCAACAAATGGATCCAAGTTGACCTACTGTAATCATCAACCATATTTGTGTCCATCATATGTAGGAGTATAAAATGGACCCCAAACATCAACATGAAGCAAATCAAATATAGAATCATAATTGGATTGACTAATGGGAAAAGGTAACTTGTGTTGTCTAGCTTTGTGACATACAACATATGAATGAAACAAATCTTTATTACAAGTATTTGGAGCAAGATTTATTTGTTTTAGCTTGTACAAAGGAAGATGACCAAAACGTAAATGCCACAAGGAAACTATCTTATTACATTTATCTAGCATAATAGTACTAGATGCAGAAAAGCTATCGGAATCACAAATCTTGACTTGATTGGAGTTTAACAAGTAGAGATTTCCAACCCTTTTACCAAGTACCAAGGGCTTCTTGGTGAGAGGGTCCTGCATATAAAAATGTGTATCAGAAAAATAAACAAAAGATTTATATGTAGAACACAACTTGGGTACATCCCGCCTTGGGAGTACGTTTGCAAGAATGAAACTCAAAGGAATTGACGACCCAGCAGATAAAGTACATTACATAGCATTACATAGTCAGAGAGAAGATTATAATGAAATGAAGGAACATATAGCACATTACTCAGAGTTAACGAATTGGATAGAGTAATGTTTCCAATTGACTCAACAAACAACGTATTACCATTATGTAAAGAAATTTTGTGAGATTTAGGAAGTTTTGTGAGAGTGGAGAACAAATACTTATGACTGGACATATGATCAGACGCACCAGAATCAATAATCCAAAAACTAGAAATAGGAGTAGTCAAAATTTTACCTACACATGCAGCAAAACCACTTCCTTCTCTTTATAACATAATCGGATGAACTGCTCGAGGATTTCTGTCCAGAATTTGAGATAGCAGATTCTTTAATTTTGCAATTGTTCATAAAGTTCATGATCTGTTGGTAATCATGATTGGAAATTTCAGCATTTCCTTCAACAACATTAACATAGGAAGAAGGTCTCCTTGGATTATTGAACTTGAAACTTTCTGGAAAACGATCAATCTGTAACATTCTGCCTTAATATGACATTTCTTCTTACATTAATTACAAACAAGGTTTCTTTTCATTTCAGCATTCATGAATACCTTTGCTCCTGCAGAATTATTTTTATTAGCTAGCATTGCCATTCCTTCAGCATTCAACTTCACAAGGGCAGTAACTTCTCTTTGATGTTCTTCTTGAATCAATGTCGCATAAGCATCAACAATATTAGGAGTAGGGTTTTCATGAAGAATATTACCTCTAACTTGCATGTAGCTATCATTTAAACCAAAAAGAAACTGCACTAATTGTTGCCTTTCCATGCGTTTTATCCAAGCTTCTCATGCAGTACAAGTGCAATCAGGTAAATCATCAATTGCTGCAAATTCATTCCAAATTCATTTGAATCTAGAGTAATATGTGGTGATCGAATCAGTTCCTTGAGCTATTTGATTCAATTCTTTCTGTAATTGAAAAAATTCAACCAAATTTGATTGTTCGAACATATGGTGCAACTGTTTCCAAATCGCACTTGCTGTTGTGTAATATATCAGTCCTTCAGAGATTTCTTTAGTCATCGCATTAAGAATCCATGTAATAACAATGGAATTACATCTCTCCCAATCATCATAAGTAGGATCATCTTCTGCAGGTTTCTTTATCCTCCTATTTACAAAACCTAATTTGTTCTTGACAGAAAGTGCCAGAGACATTGCACGCTTCCAAGCTCCAAAACTCTTTCCATCGAAGATCTTCGTGACCAGCATCGTTCTAGGATTATCGCTCTGACTCAGAAACAAAGGATTCGAATAAGCAGAGGCATTCATGTTCTTATTCGTGTTTTCTGTTTGTTTATTAGTCATATTGAGACCGATGAAGAAGAAGGAAGCGAGAACAGATTTGAACAAGAAGAAATTGAAATTGAAGAATGAAAAATGAGAAGATGGTCAGATTGGATTGTGGAGCTCTGATATCATGATAGACGAGAGTAGAGAGTAGAGAGAAATTGAGAGAAAAGAAAGAGTAGAATAATTATGTATATTTCTGTGTGTTGAAAAAGTAAAGGGGAAAAAGGCTATATATACAAGAAGAAACTAAACAACCTAACTATTTAGAACTAACAAACAGAAAATAATAACTAATTCTAACATGGTGCATAACTCTATCATGATCATAAGGCCCAAAAACATGATTTAACAATACATGATTTAACTTGATTCTAGTATACGTGAATGGTGAAATGTTGTTCAGATGATATTTAAGACCAGGTAACATATGTATGTACATGCATATATAAACACGTAACTTTACATATTATGGCAGTCAGCATGATCAACATTATGTTGAAACAAAACAACAGGACAAACACACACAAACATAATACAGTACCAAACAGCTGATTTCAAGTATTGATTGCAGTAGGCTGCTGTTGCTACTGTAATGCTAAAAAATTAGAATGCGATAACTTACTTTCTTATACCTGCTGTTTGCCAAGGCACAAGGGGTATGTATGCTTTGGCACACACACACTATGCACACAACAACAGTGAGACAGGTTCACTTACAGGTACAATATCTCACATCTTTCAATCATTTTGGTTTCACTGATGTACATATTCTCATGGCCTATGGTTTAAGGCAAGGTTGTTTGATCACATCTGATAAAATTTCTTGTTTCACTGATGTACATCTTTCAAGGTTGTTGAAAGCAACATATCAAGAACCAATTTTTGTTGGTAAACATATACATGTTCATTTTGTTTAAATGGGTTTTATTTTCAATTTTTAGCTACTAAATGGGTTTTGTTCAATGTTCAATTTTCAATTTTTAGCTACATTAAGAAATCTAATCCATTTCATACTTTTCCCTAATGTTGATTGTGTATATATAAGTTATCCTTTATGATTCAAATCCTCCTAGTAGGCAAGTAGCTCTCTTATCAATTACTGGTCTGCCTTGCAACAGTAATGATGCCCATCAACTGTCACCTCCTAACAGAAAATGGACATATATGATTATCAATTATAGTAGTCATGTTATAGCTGTTGGTAGTTTCAAGAGAGTATCATAACAGGTTACCTCACAAAAGTTATATAGTTATATATCAAATGATTAAATAGAACTACTACATACACATTATTGATAGAGTTGAGCAATACATTTGAAATTCAGTAATTTGAGTGTATGATGTTCTTCTTATCCCCCATCTTCAACATCTATTCTTTGCCTACTTGTCTTCAATCGATTTAAAACCACATGCTCATCAATAACGAAATAGCATCTACATTTTTCCACAATTTGCTTAA